TGAAAAAGTCGGTGAGGGAAGCTACGGCAAGGTCTACAAGTGCGAGGACCTGGTGGAGAAGAAGTTAGTCGCGATTAAGGTGATTTCGTGGAGCTCCAAGGACGAGGGCGTCCCTGCCTCGGCGATCCGTGAAGTGTCCCTGCTCCTGGAGCTACGCCACCCCAACGTCGTCCAACTTCTCGATATCCTCTCAGAGGACTCCAAACTGCTGTTGGTGTTTGAATACCTCGAGAAGGACCTCAAAAGCATGCTGGACCAGCGCGCGACCCCGTTGATGGGTCCGAAGCTAAAGGACATTCTCTATCAGCTCCTGTCCGGCTTGCACGCCTGCCATAGCCGGCGAATCGTCCACCGGGATATCAAACTCAACAACATCTTAGTTAGCAAGGATGAGAAGATTGTGAAGGTAGCCGATTTGGGCCTCGGACGGCCGTTCTCGATGCCTTTACAGACCTACACACATGATGTCATGACGCTCTTATACCGTGCGCCCGAGATCTTACTTGGTGAGGCGCACTACTTGCCGGCAGTGGATATGTGGTCTATGGGCTGCGTTCTTGGCGAGCTCGCGTTAGGAAGACCTCTTTTTATGGGAGAAAATGAATTCACTCAGCTGATTAGAATCTTTGAGATCATGGGAACACCCAATGAGGAGCTTTGGTCGGGGGTTTCACTTCTATCGAATTACAATTCACAATTCCCCAAGTGGCCGCCGCAGTCGCTTGCGTCATTAATTCCTGTACTTGAGCCTGAGGGGATTGATCTTTTAGAAGCGATGCTTAGGTATAAACCAGAGTGCCGCATTACGGCAGAGGTCGCATTACAGCACCCATGGTTTGATGAGGTTCGAGAGGAATGCGAGGAGCGATTACATCGTCAGATGAGTCTTTTGTATGCTAGGCGAGATACCGATAATCAAATGTGGTGTTAATTACTTTCAGATAAATAAATATAGTTATATTTAATTTTTCATAGATTATTATGTCGATTCAAAATAACGCTAATGATGAAAAGACTTAGTAGACTTATGAACAGGGATTTAGCCCTTTACTCGACTAGTTATACATGATATATATATAAAACTGTGTTGAGAGTAAAACTACAGAATAGTTTAATTTATATACCTTCCCTTTGAGGAGATTGGGCATATGTATCAAGCAAAAGGATTGTTTCCCTTCGTGTGTGTGTGTGCGACAGGTGCGTGTTTGAACCCAGAACATAATTTATTATTCACTTGTTTTTCTCATTTGGATGGATAAATTTAGTAATATGCGTACGAGTTGTTTTCTGTACACAACAGTGGTCGAAAATAAATAAATAAATAAATATATTTATTTATTTATTACTTGCTCGTGTAACAACATTTTTTGCATCTTTATTCACGTAGCCTTTTTCTTAAGGGCAAGTTCACCACAGCCACGAATCTGAGTTAACTTATTCTTAATTTAGAGCATTACTTTCCATAAAAAAACAGGGTGTATAATTCAGGAAGCCGAAGTGACGCTAACAAAGATATAATCTTATAAGAACCATAAAGAAGTACTCCCTTTCCTTTTGTTATCACTTATAAAGGTTACTTTATTCTAAGGTGTTTACCTTTTATTGATAACCACCATCACCCACAAAGGCAACACGGGATCTGAAATACGACAGAAAATAATCTGGTGTAAAGTTCCACAAGTTGCTCTTTAGTTTGTTTTATTGTTAACTGCAATAAGTCTTTTTTTGCTATTTAGGTAGTTGAGTTGATTGAACACTTTTCTATCTATCCATAATGTCTTTAAGTGTGTTGTGTGATGGCATTTATTTTACTCATCTGCCCCAAGATAATGTAATAACATTAACCTGGAAAAATGATCCAACACAGCGTTTTATGCCTTGCACGTTCCTCATTTTCAAGGTAAAATCCACGGCACCGCATAAGTTTCATATACATCCTTGTTTTGGGACCATTCTTTTGTCCGACTCGTCTGTCAGTAGCCATGCCACTCACACTTTTCACAACGGAATCGTTAACAAAAAGGAAGCAAAAATAGTGATCGGCCTTCAGGAGAAGTATTCACCTAAGGCGCATAATGGATGTGGGGACGAAACCAGTACGCAGAAGACGTCCTCCAACTCGAACACCCCCAAACGGTACCAAGAGCGTTTTGTTATAGAATCTCTGATAATAACTCAGAATATGCAGGAATTTCAGAAAATTCTTGACTCCTTACACGACAACTCCAAACTCTCACATCTTGTGAAAAAAATGTGGTCCTTGATTTCGTCTAATGCAATCCCTAGTACACATATTCAGACCTGTAATGCAATAGATTTGAAAGTATATATGGAAAATGTTGTTATGCGCGATGTTGACGCTTCAAAGTTTGGTAATGAATCTCTGACAGCGGTAGTGGTGCCCCAATCAGCTGTTCTGGTTCCATCTTCACTAAAGCAGCAGTCGAAGAGTCAAGCTTCATCATCTTCAACTAATTATGCGTCTGAATTTGAAAATCGCACCAATGGCATTCACGGAGCCAACGTATCACCACTCGCTCCCATGAGCGATGAACTGCGCGCGCTCAAGAATGAAGTAGCCATTCTTCGCAAAATGAAGGTCTATGACACTTCCTGGAGCACGAGCAGTGTTCATAGAGGGAATTGTAATACCAAACACCCACCAGCGCTGAATGGAATCGGTGACCGCAATCCAACTCCAACATCGTCTCTTTTTCAGAGTGGCCATATAAAAAATAGTAAAATATATAGTGACCAAAGAGGAATGGACATCCTCCTTTCAACGCCACTTTTAGGTTCTGACACGCACAACGGAGTGACCAAACATCACGGGTTAAAACTTTATATTCTTTTAGGGGGTATGTTTTTTGTCTATATTTTAGGTCTATTTATCCAACGCAGTCGTACTAGGCCCCAACTCTAAGTTTTTTGAACTCATGTTATAAAACATACACAGGAAACTTTACCATTACCTAGCCGGTAGTGGCGTCGGGTGCGAAAACAATAGTTATTACCAATGCACGAATGGCAAACTAGACTTTTTAATTCGCTTGGTTTCGAGTGTTAGACAGTAAAGGTGATCTATTGCCATAAAAAAAAGCTATTTGGAGCCTTTTATTTATGCTATCTTTCTTTTATGTGATCTATTATCAGTAATTTTTTTGGTCTAAGTACTCCAAGAATGTATTTTCCTGATAAGTCTGACTGGAGCAAAATTAGGTTTCAATTTTTACACTCAAGTGAAAGGAATCCAAAATAGATCATGTATATCTATATATTTTTTTTTCTTTTAAAACTTATTGCGTTCGTTATTATAGTATGAGGTTCAACATTGAATATTTAGTTTCCTAGTTACTATGTTTTGTAAATGTAAAGCAGTTTCACTTTTTACCAGTTTTGTATCATAAAGAAAGCGGTGCGATCAGTTTTCCTGTAGTAAGCAAACAAATCCCTCAAAAAGGAGGAATTACATCTGCTTGATTTTATCAAAGGTTAATTTATTATACTTCTATGTAATGTTTTCCACCTTTCAGCATACTGACAGGGATCAAAGATACGTTTTTTATTATATGTTTCTTTTTTTTTGCATAAAATTTCAGAAAAAGCTTAGGACATTATCCACATTATAGTTGTGATTTTGTGGGCTGATTCTGAGGCTGAAAGTGAACCCTAATATAAATATAAGCTTATAAGTATAAAAATCGAGCATTTTCCTCCAAAACATTTCCGAATAAAATAAGAAGATGTAACGAAATCAATGGATATGTTATGAAGACATATATATTTGAATTTTCGGTTACTTTTTTATTCCCGACTGAACATTTTCCAATACCAAGGGACCTAAAATATGTTCACAATAAACAGGTTGAACTCATTTCTGAATTGTTTTCAAAATTCGTTTCAAATGGACTGATGCTTAAGCTTGAGACTCATTCATTTAAGATTCCTATTGTTACCCCTTTCTGAATATTTTTAACACGATCTGAAGCAATTGTTCAAAACAAACCGCAATAAATAGCATAGTGATTGTACAACGTCTTCTCACAACTTTGCTGGTGAGGAAATGAAGACAAAGGTCAGCTCAAACCTGGGCGCACCCTACGCCTGGCGCTTTTTCAACAGTCTCTGGACCTACCGCGTCAGCCAGCTCACGACCTCAAATATGCGTCAATTAAGGGATACTGGTATTGCGATGAGTTTTGACCAGGGGAATGGTTCTTCCTCCGGCGGATCCGAATCGTCGGGAGCGGTTCCGATCCAAAGTGATTTGCACCCCCACGCCTTACACAAATTTCCAGGTGATCCCGATTGGTCGATCGTGATCGCCGTCCCGAGGAGTTCTGTCCACTCGCGCAATGTCCTCGGCTGCCCGAAGGTATCGTTGATGGTGGGCCACACCGATCCGCAGTTATTTCATTGGTTCAAGCAGCTCGGGACGATCCCGCCCCGTGCGGTGATCACCGGCGCGGTTGATATTCTTTCCGGCGATCTTCGCGATGACTGCTGGGGGCGGACGTTTATTCGCCATCCTGTTATCCATACCATCGCTCAAGATATGTGGGAGAAGAAGGAAAGCAAGACGACGGATGAGCAGGTGCACATCGCCCAGCGGGAGCGCGAGGAGGATGAAAAGCGCATGCGGCGCATGAGCAGTAGCGATTGGCGCTCCAAGTTTAAAGATCGCGAACGAAACCCCACCACCGGCGAGGATGAGGAAAAGCCTATTTACGTCGTCAAACCGGAGACGTTTAGTCTTTTGCGGCTGAAGCCGGAGGTCAAATTGTGGATGAACGTGGGGGGTCAGGCGCAGCGGGTATGGGATCCCGCGATACCGGACGCCGATCCACTCTGCCGCTGCTCGCATCGCTTCATTCGTATGCTGAACCTTGCGCGCCAAAAGTTGGTTTCTTCTCTTAATATGAACTTTTCCTTAAAACTTACCAACGCGTTTATATTTGAAATTGACGAAAAGGGGCTGTGGGCTCTCGGCACACAGGAGAATTTTTCTGGAAAGAACGGAATCGTTCGGGAGGAATGGAGTGAGTTACGGCTTGAGTTTGGTAAAAACCAGATTATCAAAACTGAACAAGAAATGGAATGGTGGGTGCGTGGGTTAACCAAGCTTGGTGCTCCGGAGATATCGCAAACCGATAACAGTTTAGATGACGCCGCAATGAATCCAGAAGAATTCGAGTATCGTCATATTTAGGAACCATGAATAGTGCTAAATAGGAGGGGGGGGAACCCATTGGGTTATGGTTTGTTGCTTTATTTTTTTCTATCGTAATATGTTCGTCATTATCTACGTAAAAGGCTGATTATCTAACGTCCTTTTATTGCGAGTTATGTTATCTGTCAATCATCGTTTTAATCTTTTTCTCCATTTTTTCCCATTTCGCTGAAATTTAAAGAATTGGTGTCGAACCTTATTTGATTTGTGTTTTTCTCTAAAGTTTTTTTTATCTCAAATATAAAGGCGTATCACTTTTGAGTTGTTAATCTTCATTTCCCCCATATCACGGTTCACTATTACACTGTATATTTAGATCAGCAACGACTGTCCACTAACTCGCCAAAGGAGAACTTATTGGAGGTTGCTATTCACATATTTTGATTATTCCATCAGAATTTTTTTGAGTTCCCCCAACACCTATACGTGTTGATACACGTAAAATATATATTATCCCCCCATTTAAACGAAAGACTTCAATTATATACATAATTCCCTAACACATTAAACTGGAGCAATGTCGCACTTAGCCACCCAAAACACAGCCCCCAAGTGGTATCCGCAACAGCCCCCTGGATGGAACTCAGGCGTAGGCCATGATAGGCTGAATCAAACAGGAAATTGGAATGGCAACTTGAGCGTTAACTCGAACCCTGCGTACAACCCTTCGGGCCAGCTCCCCGAGGCCATGAATCGGAGGTCTTATTCGGCCGGTAGCGCCACCACGACCCCCCATGGGGGGTATTCCTGGACCGGCGCCTACACCCCCCCAACACAAGGCGTGAGCCCGCGCGCCATGCCAAATTACGACAGGGGGTCATGGACGATGCCTGGCGGCCCTTTGAGATATCCGCCACCACCGCAACGGCCTTACGATGATATTCGCTGCGCTGGGCCCCCGGCTGCACCCTTAGATCCTTACATTTGTGCGTCGATCGATACCGGTAAGCAATCTTGTTGTGAAAGTGCGGATTTATGCTGCGATTGGACCTTTTTATTCATGGTCTTCTTTTTTATATTGACTGTGACAGGATCAGGTGTGATACTTACCACTAATAGGGATGATAATATCTTTTCTAAATTTGATGTCTTGACTGGTATTGACCTTAACACTAAAATGACCCCTTACATCAAGTGGAAGAATACCGTTCCACCGCGGAATATTGCTTCTAGAGGATCCTGCAGAAGCAGCAGCATCGCAGGCTCGCACGGCATGATTTGCATGGAGGACAACCTCAACGCAAATGTGTTGTCAACACAGCTAAGCGAGTGGAATAATGCCCGTGATTCGCTTTGGTGTCTGGCTGTGATCTACACATTAATTGCGATTGTGTACGCGCTATTTATACATTCTCAACGGAAGAGCCTTGAATCTACAGGGCTGGGGGCCCTTGAGGGACTTCCACCACTTAGTCAAGAAAAACAGGCGGAGCTCCTTCAAATGACACCCGCCCAACAGCAAAATTTCATCAGAGAATATCAGCGACTTGTCGCGGAAAACATAAGCCTTAGCCCATCCCCTCAGGGAAATCTCCGTCAGGATGGAAGGGCCGACCTGTGCTGTAATACCAAAATCGAGGTGTACGACACGCCTTTCTATGAGTTTATGCGTATCGCTTGGCTCTTCATTGGGTTTACGGTTTTGGCGTGGACGGCGAATCTTCTTATTTCCTCCTGGTATTTTTTGCCTTACTACATCAGTGAAACAACGGGCCCCTTGCACGATTTCTGGGTGCACTATCAGGTGCGATTCATCTCGACTCTTGTTTTGATCACCGTTTACCTTGCCTGGCCCTTTTTCAACTTTCTGGTGGATTTGGTGGTTTTGGTTATTTTTATCCTGCCCTGGTTGGTCATTCGTTCCGTGTGCTTTCCGCAAATCGGTAGCTACCGCCCGTCGCTGCCGCTCTCCCAGCTTCCCGGGTGGATTCGGATCGACATGTTCTTCATGGACATGCAGGACCTCCGCCGGCTGGGCTTTTCGCGGCAGGCGTGGCTGCTCCTGACGGGGGACGCGCG